GGCGGGGCTTGAATATCTCCAGAGAAGGAGACTCCACAGCCTCCCTGGGCAGCCTGGGCCAGGGCTCCGTCACCCTCAGAGGGAAGTAGTTCTTCCTCGTGTTGAGCTGGAGCTTCCTCAGCTTCAGTTTGTGCCCGTTGCCCCTTGTCCTGTCGCTGGGCACCACTGAAAAGAGTCTGGCCCCATTCTCTTGCAGCCCAATGCTTCATGAAGTTGTGGGAGTGGGGAGATGAGTAAGCAGTGTTTGCTCTGAAACCCGCCGCTGGAGTGCTGTGCTGCCTGTGTGCCGTGGGACGCAGAGCTTTTGGTAGGGACTTATTTCTTAGCTTCTGTACAAAGCCAGTTTAGAAAGGATTTCTCTAGTTCCAGGCCATGTGCATCCAGAACGTTATTCTCCAAGGAGCAAAGCATGGTTAGGACAATGTGCTCCTCTTGGAAGACGGGCTCTACCACACCCTGTACCTTTTGTTTTGTGTAGAACTGAATCTTCATGGCTTTTGGGAAGTCTGCTGTAAAGTTAAGCTGAACTAGGGGTACTATAGAGTACGTACAGTCAAAAGATGCGACGTCTCTGTATTGAGAATAATTGATGAAATTTGCCTTACTAAGAGATGATAGAAACCTTTTAAGCTTTCTCAGTAGCTTGTCGCACTGGTACAATTTGTTGGGGCCTCTATTCCTTGCTTCACTCATTTCCCCTCTGCGTCCCGCAGCAGATGGTGGACAGTGCTGCCAAAACCCATGCTGCCGATTTTGCCTCTGTCCTGGAATAGTCTTCAGCTATTCTGGGATGTTTCTGGTTGGGGTTAAGGCAGAGTCGCCCAAGAAAGTAGTTTGAGAGTTCGGTTGTTTCAGTGTAGCTTAAATAGATGCGTGGGCTGGCTGATGCTGCAGGTGGAGATGCTGCTGTGCTTTCCCAGTCATTTGACTGGTGCTGGCGGGACGACTCTGTAAGCCCATTTGTCCTAGCCTGGCAGAAAACTCTGAAATGGCAAACAGCTTTTCTGTTGATTTGCCGAGTTTTGGACTCTGCCGTGAGCTGGAGCCGGGGCCGAGGAAGGCAGCAGACTCCCTGCCACCTCGGTTGGTGGGATACCAGGTCAGTTAAGCAGTCTGCTGTGGTTTCACCCAGCTCTTGCTAACAGCTCCCCTTCTCTTTTCCTCCTCTCTTGTGACGCTACCAGCATCCTTGCGTGCCTTTTGGTCTCTTCAGTTTTTTGCCAGAGTTGTGAGAGCGCTTTCCAGGAGCGAATCCTGAAACCTCCTGGCTGGATCTGCAGCTCGGTGCCTGTGCTATGCTTAGTAGCAGAGCTCTGTTGTGGAGGAGTGTTATGGGAAACATTATATCTGGCAGCAGTGCTGCCAAACTTCGGTGGCAAACACATAATTTCAGGGTCTGTCGTGCTCCACAACGCGGTGGGACTGACTGGAAAGCCTCCAAGAGGAGGGGGAGAGGGGACTAAGGGAAGAACAAACAGAAGCATCTGGGGCAAATTTGCTTTGATGGAACCCGGTGTCAGAACGTACTCGGATGTGTGGGTCAGCCTTGAAATGAGAAAGGTCCCTGCTTCGAGGGCTGCAGGGTTGGAGAGTCCCTGAAGCAGCAGGGACAAGAACAGCTTGTGCAGGGGGGCTGTTCGGCACGGAGCGTGGCTGGGCAGCCCCAGGCCTCCAGCTGCCCGCTGCGCACAGGGACAGCCAACTGGGAGAGCGAGCTGCTGGCAAGAAATCGCCAGCCGAGACCTGTGGCTGGTTGGGCGAATGGAATCGGTGCGCTTCCTTTAATGGCACCGTGGTCGCTTTGGGTGCATCAGAATTAAAACTGGAGCGGTTTTGGTTGTTTTACTGGCTGCGCACAGGGAGGGATCTCTGCTGCGGAGGAAAGGCACGCAGCCTGCTGAAGGCTTTGCTTGGTGTCAAGCAAAACATGATAATGACTGTAATTCTTATGACTTCTTATCAAAGCCTTGTAGGAAAGGGTGAGACTTGCTAAACTTCGTGGTGTTTGAAGCAGACTCTGAACACTGGATCCTCAAAGCAGAAGTAGGCAAGGCCTGCCTCATCCTTGGCTCCTCTGTCCCTGGCCACTGGGCCTGAAGGGCACACAGCATGTTGGGCTGGGCTTTTTTGATCTTGCTTTGGACAGATCTTATCTGAATGAGCGTGCTTGTCTTAGTGGTGTCGTACCCATGTTGGATATAAAGCATTAGCCTAGGTGGCAAAGTTTGTGGAATCTAGAATTTGGTTAGAACAGTGAAAAACACAGCTGCAGAATTTGGGTTTCTTTGCTGCTCGTGCCTGGTGTGTGTGGGGTGCCTAAAGAAATTGCTGCTGGTCCTGACAATTTGACTTTCATACAGAAAGTTCTGTGCATGTTTTGGAGGCAGTTGTTAGGTGTTTGTGTGTAACTTGTATTGTTGAGCTTGCGTAAACCAGGAGTTCCTAAACAATGTGGAAATAATTATTCAGTCAAATGATTTGCAGTGTTACAGACTTTGGTGCTTTGTTTGTAAGTAGGGGAAAAAACTATTTGTGTGAAATAAGCAAAGTATGTGGAAGCTAGGAGCTTGATAGCTTTGGTGCCTGATAGGTGCACAGTACCATGCTGCAGACTGCCTTTTTTCAGAGCGTGAATGGTAAGTGTTAGAGGTTTTTTTGCTGACATGACATTTGTTTTTAGTACTAACAGTTCACTGGCATTAGAGAGTATTTCAAGCTCAACTTAACAAGTTTAACTTCTATTGCTCACTAAATGTGTAATTAAATTATGAAGTCTTCTCATCTGTTTTGAATTTAAATTATCACTGGTTTTAACTTTTTTTTTTATCACACATGACTCTTTCGGGATTGCAGGATGTGCGAAAACAGTTTACTGTAGCCATATGCTCCTTGGCACAGAACTTCAAGATGTTTCAGTAGGTTTGAAGCATGGGTAGTTGTGCGATGTGTGGCGGTGGTGGTTCTTCTTTTACGAAAGCTGTGTTTATTCTTGCCTAGACTGCTGTAGCTGCTGCTGTTTCCACAGATGATTCTGCAGAATCGCTTCTGGTGGCTGCCTTGGGAAGGGGTCAGGTTTGCAGGAGGGTGGCTCCCCTAGATCTCTCCTCGATCCCTGCTTTGCTGCTAGCCTGTGCTGTTTTCTGGTGGTATAAGTCTAGCTAGGTTGATACCTGCAGATTGAATCGTCTTATTGTGAGTTTGCTGTCCTGGCTGGGTGTGTTCGGTGCAAAGGGATTGCTGTTATCTGTGGCAAGGACACAGCTAAGAAGCAATTTTCCCTTTATCAGCCCGATAGCCTTTTCATTAGAAGCTCCTGGGTCAGCAGGCCTGCTCTACCATATCTCTACAGATATTAGTGATAACTGTGTTTAGGTCATAATGGAAAACTTTGACACTGGCTAGGAACCATGAGCTGCTTGCACTGCGTATCCATATGCACCGTGCTCTGTAGTGTATCGTACGGGTGCCAGTGCAGTAAACTAGGGAACACCCGTGGTCTGGCTGGACTTCTGCCTACCCTCTCCTTCACGGCCAGGCAGCTGCTTTAATTAACATTCTTTCCTAATTGACTGGTCTGCTCTTTTTGCAGTCTGTTCCTGTATTTAGGGAGAGAATATCTACTGGGTTCCTCCCATCCACATGCCAATTGCCTTTTTATTTTGCTGGTGTGCTCTGTGCTGGCTCATGGTGATTTTTGCTTGAGTGAGTCCAAAGTCTGTTGACTTTCATGCCTGAAGATTGTCTGCAGTTGGTATTTGAGATGTGCCTGTTCCTTACTTTTCAGCAAGTGCGCTGTTACTCCTGCCTCAAAAGAACAGTGGAAACATCTGCTGTCATCCCCTGTTCCTGCTCTGAAGAAGGATTAAGTTCTGGGAATAAAGGCACTTGTGCGGTTGACTTCAGACTCTTCTATGTGTGTGACATTTGCAAGGGAGCAAAGGAATGGAAGGTCAAGCAGCTGCTGGTGATTAAAATAATCCCTGCAGAGAGTTCTCCCAAGACCTTGAGTTTCATCCACAGTGGTTGATGGGGATTCTTACCTTGCTTTTCAAAATCCCGTGGTGTGAATGATTTTTCAGGGTGTGATGAAAGAAGACCAAATCAAATCTGTTTTGTGTACACAGCTGACAGGGCCCCTGCCTCTCGAGCTGTGGGGGTGACAGTAATTGCACCCCAGGCAGTGTCTTCTTCACTAGATGATGATGCATGACACTGGGGCATGATGCAGCTACAACTAGATAAGCAGTGCTGGAAACTGGTGTGGTGATGGTCCATTTCTGAAGCTAAAACACCAGCGCCTTGTGCCTCCTTGAGCCTGGGCTGTGGTAGTGGGTTGCTCATCTGCTGCGTAGTTTTGACCTAGTTTTATACCACTGCTGAAGCAGAGAGATTTAGAAAGGGATGGGTGTCGCGGCTTGTTTCAGTGAGTTGAGATCTGATGAATGAGAAAAGGCACTTTGAAACACAGGAGTGTCGACGCTCTCATAGTCTGGTGGTGATACGGCTCCATACAAACCTTTGAATTTCTCTGTAGAGTTCAAAACGCTGGCGCAGTGTGATTTGTGCCTGTTCTATGTGGTTGAATGGAAGGAAATGCTTTTTCTGTTCAGGTTTTCTTATAGCTGGTACTTGTTCTAAACTCTGCTTTTCCTGGGAGGTAGGAAGTGGTGTTCATACCCTGGCATGTGAGTGTTAGTGCGTGAAGGAGTTTGGAGAGCTTTTTCGAGAACTGCAAAGGAAGGCAATATATTCCCACCAAAGCTGCTAAACAGCAAAAGCTTCTGTGAGCCCAGAGGCACATGTGTTTTCTGTGAAGTCTGTTTTTAATCCTTCAATTAGGAGATGTAAGAGGAGTCCTCCTCCCTCACTAATTGATGGAACGTCCTCCTTGCCATCAGCTTCCTCTCCTAAAATGCCTCGGCCAGCATGCGGTGCTGGTCTGGGCTGCTCTCCTCCTTCCCCCCTGCCCCAGGGCTCTCCAAGCATTTGTGTTCCTCAAGCTCACCGTGTGGCAACAACACAATGCAGCTTTTCTTGCTCCTTGGCTTGTCTTAGTGGTAATTTCAAATGTATCTTTTTTTCATAACTCTTACCACAGAAGCATATTGTTCTGAAACTCCTCTTCTTTGGAAGGTTTCTTGGATGGATGTGGCAGATAGAGGGCCACAGGCTATGTCCTTAGAAAGGCAGAACTGGTATGGGTTGCACTGGGGAGATTTTTCTTCCCCTTCCTCAAACTCAGCCCTTCAGTTTATCAGACACAGGATAAAAAGGATTATTTTTCTCCTTTTGCTTCACTTAAATTGGAAGGAGCAGGTTAGCATTGCCACTGAACCCACCTCTCCTATACTTGCAATGGTAAGAAGGAAGCAGGATCGCAGCTTTTAGCTAGCAGGTGGTCATCCTGTTCTGCATTTGAAGGATTATTGGCTAGATCTTACGCTTTTGCGTGTTTGAAGTACTGAACAGTGAATGTATGCGGTACTAACGCTTAGTGAAGGTACCGTGTAACTTGCATGACTCTTCTCAGAAGAATAAGGCTTGATTTCTCAGAGCTGAGAGCGCAGGGAAGGCTGGTATTTCGACGTGCGGTGTTCTAATGTTGTGTATTTCAAGAAAAGCTTGTTTAAGCTTTCCAAGTCAGTGAGAACCAGTCTGTTATCTTACTGGGCTCATCTTTCCAGAAAAACGGAGCTTTAATCTTTGGTGGATCTGAAGCAAAGGTTAGTAGATTGGAGGGCGCAAAAATAACTGGAGCAACCAAGAAGGGTTTTGGGAGAGTGCTCTCTGGCTGTTACAAATTCTGCTGCTTGCAGATGTGTTGGAGAAGTCCTGTCCTCTCAGAATTGCAGTGCTAGCCTGTGTATTTTCATAAAGAAACTATCCTTGACTAAAAGGCTGAGGCAGCAGCTTCAGTGGAGGGCGTTCTGACTCTCGGCTTTTGAAATTAGCTTAGTCCAAAACCTCTATCTGTTGCTGAATGATTAAGATGGGTGCAGAAAATTAAGGAAGAGCCCACCTCGTAAGCCATGAAAGCGTTGCTCTTAGAGGCTGCTTTAAAGTAGTGTAATTTGGATGCTGTCTTAGTTTTCGGTTGTGAGCATCAGTTCTGCTGTCCGAGGATAACGAGCAGGCGTCTGCTGGCCTTTTAAAAAAAGTTCATATCCAGATTTTCAAATTTATGATTACTTTGGGAGATAATGGTTTTAGATGGTGGCAGTCTGACAAACTGCAATTAATTACTGCGATCCTTCAGGTACCATTTGTTTTTTTATGTTCTAAGAGGAGAGGTAATTTCTGCCACTTCCTGCTATGGAAAATAAAAGTGCTTTGGTTAATAATGGCTGTAATTAAGGACTTGGAAACGTTTCCCATGCTCTCTTTTTCCCATAAACTTGTGTTCGTGCTCTCTGAAGCAGCAGTGGTGCAGGGGTTGGGGTAAGGCATTGTGCGGTGGCAAACGCTTGTGCTGAAAAACTCTTTGGGGGGTGTAGGCTGCTTGCTTCCGAGACTAGTGAAATGCTGGTTCTCCTACGGCAAATATCTGAGGTCTAACATCTTCGTGTCAATGATGGGTTTAAGCTTTGAGTGGGTTTGAGTGTCTGGGGCTCTTGGAGTGTGTCTAGCGTCTGAAACGTCAGTGGAAGCAGAGGCTTTTTGAGTCAGGGTTGGTGTCTCTGTGGGTATGACGGCCAGGTGATTTTGTCCTGCCTTTGTGCTGTTTTGCTGTGGAGACGAGATGTGGCTTGGTGTGACTCACTTTCTTCAAGGAGGTCTGCGTTGTGGGAGCTGCTCGGGCTGGAAGGAGGACAGGGTGGTTGGAAGCCAGAGTTCTTTGCACAGCAGCTCCCTGTGGAGCGCGCGGTTTCTCCGGAACACCTACACATGATGTGTGAATATCGGATGTTACCGGTTTCTTGTGGCCGAAGGTGGAAATCTCAGGGCTGCTTTGGACTGGCCCCTCTATGTACAGCTGAAAGAGCAGACGCTGCTTCTCAAACAGGGGGTGCAGACACTTCGCTCTGGGGAGAGAAGCGAGTCCTACCTTTGTCCTTCAGCATGAAACTTATTTTTCTTTAAAACTTTACTACCCTATCTTTGCTTTCCCACAGATGCTTTTTTGCCTTTTAATTTGGGCAGTTGGGCCAAACACAAGCACATTCATTACCTTTTTGCAGCGTCTGCATAAATGCTGCTGCTGCTCGTGCCAGTTGTGCTCTGTAGAGTCGAGGCAACGTTGTATCGACAGTACCCGTTATCTCAGTCCTTTTGGTACTTAGCTGTCATCACTCGTTACGCAGGTTTTAAGATTTCCTATTGCTTGTGTCAGATTGCTTCTTGCAATGAAAATGAGTTGACAGTATGTTAGTTCGTGAGTTGTACTCTGCTGTATGTGGAGCGCATCACATCAGGACTGAACTGACGCTTCTTTTTTCTCTTTTCAGCCAGATAACGAAATCTCTTCAGACTGCAATCACGTAAGTATTGCTTTGTTTTATCCAGACTCTAGCTATGGTGTTTGCACCTTACACCCCTCGTCAGCCGTAGGTATTTTGCATAGTTTGGTACTTTGCAAAAGGCATTGATTAGGACACACATGGGTTTCTGTACTGGCCTGTGGAGGAAGACCACAAGGCGACTTCGTTAACCCAGTATAGCCACTGTGGTCTTACTGGAGACTTCAGAGTGGAGCGTATTCAAGAGCTTTATAAACCACACTTCGGTATCAGGAGAATAGCAGGCGGCGTTCCTATTTTGTCGTTGGGGGGTGGTTCCCGTGAGTTACTGCAAGCAAGATGATGTGCTGCTTTTGGGAAAGATGTGAGCAGTACTGAATTTAAACTCCTAATTTCAGCTGTTGAAGCCTTCTGTATTACTTTCACAGCTGCTAAATTCTTAGACTCACTTGGAAAATGCTGTGGGGGTGTGATATTTAGAGGCAGTTAGAACCACTCGGCTGGTTTTAGAACAGATTTCCTCTCAGCACAGTGTTTAACAGTGAGCAAACCGTTAGCCAGGTTTCAGGCTGTCAAGCTGATGCTTCAAATCCCGAGACTCTTAAAAAAAAAAAAATTCATCAGAGCTGAGGTTGTTATTTGGTTTCCTTTGGCTGCTCTCATTTGCATTCTGTTAGAATGCACCATATGAAGAGTCTTAATTATTTGGTTAGCCCTGGACATAGACAGACCAAGTGCGTGCCTCGATGGTGGCCTTGGTTTTGGGTGCTTGAGAAGCTGTAGTTTGGTTTGTTATTGGGAGAGATGATCAAGAAATGAAACCCAGCCATGCTGTACAACTCGTAATTTCTAGCTAAGTGTCTAAATTAACCTTTAGCACTGTGCTGCCTGGCTGCATGGCAGCTGTAATTCTCTGTTGTGCACGGTTGGATGAGATGAAGGGCACATCGTGTTTCTGTTTTAAGTATTTTCTCCTTTTTTGAAAAAGAGAAAACTTCCGTAATTAAAGCATATCTACCTGACATTCAAATGTGCCAACAGCAATTGCCTGAATGGAGAAATGGAGAATTCTAGAAATCAAAGCTGGACCTTTCCTCTGCTGGATTAAATGGCAGTGCTGCTGCCACGAGGCAGGTGTCTGGCTGCTGTGGAAGGCGTTCAGGAAGTGTGGGCAAAGTCTTGTTTTCCCAGGCCGAAATTGAAGGGGAGCAATTAAAAGATAGGCCATAGAGAAGTGTCTGATGTCCAAATGTTTGTTTTGCCTCTGCAGTCTTTGGTAGCACAACTGCTGACCATCTCCCAGGAAAATACGCCTAGCGCTGAAACCTAGATTTTGTTTGTTTGTTTTAAGCTGCAAGTTTAACCTTCCTTCTGTCGGTGGGAAGGTTCCTTTGGAGAGCACCTTGTTTCAAGACTCTCCAAAGTGCAAGATTACAAATGCAGAGGGGTATCCTTATGGTGCTGGACCTCATTTCTTGTCCTTCCGATCCTGGCTGGGAGAGGTCTACAGCACTCTTTGCGAGGACGTTTTCCCTGTTTATTCACTTTTATCTATTAAAACTATATGTTTACAGCTTCTCCATCTGAAATACCCTAGGATCCCATGTTCTCCTTTTTTTCATTCTTCACAACTCCATGAGACGAGGTGTGGAAGACAGTGCAGCTGTGCTGATTCCATTTTTAGTTCTCTCTGCATGCTTCCGCCTTCTTGGAGAAGATGTAAAGCTGCCTTCCTTGTGTATGAGCATGTGTTAGTGTTTTTTAGTGTTCTGTCTACAACTGAAACTTCAAATTAAAGTTTGACCAAGCCGATTATCTTTTTGATATTAATTTAATTTTGTCACAGGGGCAGAGTATTTGAAATGAATTTTTAAAGCTATTTTTCATTAACATAAAGATTAAATTTTTAAATGCAACGTAAGTTCCTAGAAGAAAACAGAGGAGCTTTTCTTAGGCAACATCTCAACTATTAATTTGCCAAGGTTTTGCTCTGTTACCCTGTGTTTTTACTTTATGGTGCCTCAGAAGGACATCGGGGATGTGTATGTATCTGCAGAGCGTGACTTGCCCGAGATTGATTCTTGCACGATGACCCGATGCCTTGAGGCTCCTACATGAGCTCATCTCTGGCTCCTACAAGAACAGTTTGTCCATACCGAGGTGTTCTGCAGCCTGACCTCTAATGTATCGTTGTGCTTAGTGAGAGAGAGAACCTCATATGGGTTTGGAATATATCTGCATCCAGAAAGCTGTCTGGTGGCAGCCCCTTGCGGGAGGAACCAGCTGCAGCGTCTCCTTCCTTTTTTGCTAGGGTTTGGTGAGGTTTTCAGTATGGAATCTGCGCGTGTTGAGGATGCAGTTTTGTTAGGTTGTTTGCGTCAGGCAGAGAAGCCATGGTGGAGGAAGGTGGGGGTGGACTGAAGACGGTGCTAAATATGCAACGGGTAGCAAGTTACAGCTGTCATTGTTTTATCCTTTCAGTTATGAAATTGGCTTCATTAGTTAGATTTTCTTTTAATGAGTCAGCTCATGACCTTATGGGGAGATTTCTAATAGCCGGAAGTTGTTTAATAGGAGAAAATTATTGCAGAAATGAAGGGACAAAGTTGTTGTCAAGGAGACTTTGCATTGATTGTTGCACTGTAGAAGGATGACGATACAGATTGGGAATAAAAGATGTTTCATTCTTTTCTGGAGAAAAATATTTGTCATTCTCTGTGAGAAGCTCTTAAACCCCCGTTCTACAAATGCTCTCTCTGTAGCTCTTGTGGAACTACAAGCTGAACCTGACTACAGATCCGAAGTTTGAATCCGTGGCCAGAGAAGTCTGCAAGTCCACTATTGCAGAGGTAAGCCAGAAGAAAGGCACAGCTACTGTTGTGGCATGAAGTTGTTTTTTTGGTTTTTTTTTTCCATTTCTTTGTGATAGTGAATTAGTGTGTGAATAAAGTTTTGGGTTTGGGGAAGCTCTAGTCATATGTGCTGACTTACTAGGCATAATTAATTCGATCTCATTGCAGAAAAAGCCGCTTACCTTAGCGGTGCCAGTCAGAGGGGTGGGGGAAAGAAAGGGTAAACTAAGAGCCCATCAGCTCTTACCTGAGCTTTCGTCAGAAGTCTGTTGTGAATTGGATTTGTCCCTGCTTTATCAAGTGTGTGACGATTGTAGCAATGTTGGTGTAGCAGGGCTTCCACTGAATTTAGCATAAGGCTGGTTTTGGGTTGTCTTGCTGGCAGAGTGTATAAGCATGTAGAGGTCAAATGATGAATCAGCTTTGTCTTTTTTTCTCTTTGAGGCTCAAAGTTTAATTAAACCAAAGACCCTCTTAGGAACTTTCTCTGTTTAGGCTGCACTAGGAGTCAGTCCTCTGTACGTCAAGCATCAACACACCTCAGTCCGCCTTCAGAGGTTACTCAATTCATCATTTCCTTCCTTGTGCTCGTGCTAGAGCTCCTGAGGCTGTGCGCTCAGCCACGCAGGAGCTGGCTGAGCTGAGGTCTTTTCCCTCTGGTTGGGGTAGCTTTCAGCTAGGCTTCAGGGCAGCCGTGGAACCAAGGCTCTCCACAGCAGTACAGGCTTCAGCTGACTCAATTCAGTCATTAAACCGTGCTCTGAAAACTGTCCATTGTATATCCACCAGAATAACTTCACCTACCCATAAACTTGCATTTTTAAAAAAATTCAGTTTGCTCTAGATGATGGCTCCTTTGTGATGTTTAAAGTAGGTTTTCCTGAAAGAGAATCAGCTACACGAATAGCAGACTGCCTCTGCAGCCCCAGTTCGTGTTGACAGTTCATTTTCCATAGGTCCAGCTTTCAAGGGTGCAGACTTGCTGAGGTGTGAGGAATGCGTCAGTGCTCAGAGCAGCTTTAAGATGAGTAGTTACCCAAGTCCTCAGGTCTTGATGGAATCACCTACGTGGTTCCCCATTCTTGACAAAGTTTTCATTTGAGGGGCACACACAAAGATCTGAGAGATGGAGGATGTCAGCAGCAGCCTGACTCCAAGATTTTGGAATTAGGTGTGTAGTTGAGGGGTAATCAATTGCTGTTTCTTAATGGCCTGCTAAGGTGGTTCTTCCCTTCCTCGGCACCACTGAGTTGCGGTAAGAGTAGCATTAGTGGAAAACTATCATTGAGTGTAAGGAGAGATCAAGAAAACAGTTAATATAAGAAGGCTAGAAGATTAAACAGTGAAAGGAGAACAGCTTGCATCAAAGGGTTGTGTTGTGTTTGGAGTTTGGTAGCTCCCAAAAGCAAACACGGTCAAATCTGTTGAATCCCACTATTTTGCAGTCATAGGAAAGATAGTATTTTCCTGGTCTATGTCGTACGGCTGCTGCAGAATTTTTAAAACCAAGGCATGCTTGAAGATGCTCTTTTAGCAGTCTGTTTAATTACCACTTCTACACAGTGACAGCCTGGCATTGTTGTAAACGATACCCTCTAAATCTGGGATATGATGTCTAAAAGCAGTGGGAAGAGTATATAGAATTTTAGCTGTACATTAACCACCGGTGTTCCTCTTGTAATTGTGGTGAATGATGACATGAACTGCTGAAATTTGACTAAAAACCACTCACCAAATGGCAAAAGAAAAAGTTGGATAAGGAACAATAATCTTACGTGTTTGATCTTCTGACATTTAGGCAGATGCATAAACCATTCCACTAATTTTTTAAAGGTATTTCTACAACACTTTCTAAAACTAAGGTATATAGTGGGTATATACTGCTAACATACAGTATTAGCCTATTTATATTTTTCTTTATTTCCCACTGACAGGTAGGTGTTTTCTTGCTGGGTGATTAAGCTCTGATTTTTAAGTATTGCTTTGCAGTAAAAACAAAATACAACCAGAAGAGTCATTTCTAGTAAAAGTCTGTTGGGAATTGGTGATTGCCCCGACTGGGTGTGCTCTGATCAGTACACTGTTAATGTTATCACCTAAATAAAGATGTAAATTTCAACTTTTTTCTTGACTGTGTGATTTTTCTAAGTTCTGTCAACAGTTTTAACCTAGAATTGTAGTTGGCTACCAGATGGCGGTGGTTGCTTCAGAAGTGGCCAGGCAATAACGTGATCGCTGGGTCTTTCACGCAGTTCGCTGGCTCAGGCCGTGGAGCTCTGGGGTGTCTTCCAAAGCCGGGCTCTTCCAAAACCAGCATGTTGCTGTTGTGTGCTGGTTTGGCTCGCGGCACTTGAGCTGAAGTAGGGCCAAACCGACGATGCAGATTTCTTGGAGAAAGCTTGCTAGTCTGTCTCCCTTTCACCCTGCGATGAATCACATCTGGTTTCACTTCAGGAAGTATTTTATGCCTTATCTATAACAATTACGTTTTTCTTAGTAACTATGTTTTTCCAGTAGCTATATAGATTAAATACCAAATGTTCTACCAGCCTACATCTGCCTGCGAATAACGATGTTTAAAATGTTACATGTTTTATTTCTTATGTAGAAAGTAATGGCCTCATAAGCTGAGGCAGAGATGTCTGTTTTATTCATCTAGTTTGACCTATATGGGTGTGTCACAGGATGCCTGGGGTTAACTCGTGTTTGAATTAGAATATATCTTTCTAGAGATATCTCTCAATTTTTGAAAAAATCTCCACTATAAAGATTCCAGCTTCGTGCTTGAGAACTGATGAGATGGTTCCCTGCCTGTTCCTTTGGCGCTGCCCTGGCTTGGTGTCAGGACCCGCCTGGATTATTGATTGCCAGGCATCTCCCATTAGATGGATGAGCCCTGCAGTATTTGTACAGGAGCGAATCTTTGATGTAATCAAGTCAACCCATGTATCTATTGCTTGAAAAACTGTCACTGCTGACCTTCAGTGTCTGGCTGTCCAGTATGCTTCCTGCATCATTACGGCTGCAGATTTCAGTGTGCCCCTGGACAGGGGACACCAGAACTGGGCAGGTACTTCAGTGTGGGCTTCCCAGGGCTAAAAAAGAGCGTGTGATCTCAGTACTCCTTGGAGCAAGGCATTGCCCTGCTCCTGTTGCAATATTCCTCTGGGGGCGTACTGAACTGATAAGCAACCGTGTTTTCCACTTCCTTTGGAAACATGCTGGCAGAACTGCCTGCATCTTTTCCTTCCAAAGGTGACGTTTTGGGCCGTACTGCCGGCTCCCCTGAGCAGCGCAGGCTGTGAGTTATACTGGGGACCTGTGTGTTCGTGTACGCTGCTTTTCCAATCCCTGCACAGCTTTCAGCTTTTGTTAACAGTGATTTTTATTTTTTGTAGATTGCTGGGTATAATGGTTTAGTACCAACAATCAGTTCCTATAAGAGCCTGGTAAAAATGAATTTGATGAGGATTTTCCTGTATTGCAATTTTCAGTTCCCAGCAAGTTATAAACAGTTCAATAAATATTATGTTGACTTTTGAATCAGTCTCACTTCTAGCAAAAATGTTATATTGTACGAGGTCAGGTGGCTAGTGGGGGTCCAAGTGTGATTTAGCGATGCTGTAATAAGCTCAGCTTTCTAAATAAAGCTTTGTCAAACTAGCATTTTTCCTACATATCCACTTGATTGCAGAGGTTCAATGTGATTATTATGAAAGATGATTATTGAGCAAGAGAGTTTATAATCCTCAAGGTCGCTTCGTTTGCTTTCTTTGGGTACTGGTACACATGAGGTATTTCTTATTTCTGAAATATTTTCGAGTATTCTCATTTGCTAAAAATCAAACTGAAGCCTAGAGGGTTTCTTTGCCAGCAGATTTTGAAGCTACAGATGCAAGTTTCTTTGAGGATTTTTTTTTTAAAGTTAAATTCAATAGCTGCAGTGACTGCATTTTTATTATCTCTTTTTCTTTTTTTAAACAGATCAAAGAGTGTGCGGATGAACCAGTTGGTAAAGGCTTCTTGGTGTCATGTTTGGTGGATCACAGAGGCAACATCACTGAATACCAGTGCCATCAGTACATCACTAAAATGACAGCCATTATCTTCAGCGATTATCGGTTGATCTGTGGCTTCATGGATGACTGCAAGGCTGACATCAATCTCCTGAAATGTGGCAGCATTCGACCTGGAGAAAAGGTATCCAGAGAACATGTAGGTTGTCAGTGGGCTTGTAAAAGTCATGCACTTCAGCAAGCTGACGTGGAGACTCTGCGACAGTACGATTGTCTTCCTGGCAACTGAGAGAATACATGGCCTATCTACTCTGTCTGAAAAGGGCGAGGTCTTGATTCTGTACAGTTCCTTTTTCATAAATATGTATTTGTTCCTCTATGAGGGACTGCTGTTCAGAGATGACTCTCATTTGTCTTTCCTTCCCTTACCACACCACAGATCTGGCAGGTAGTTGTCTTTGTGATCACGCTCTGTCAGTCTTGACACAATACGATGAGTCCAAAAAACAGGTTGAAGCAGAGCTATTGCTAGGCTTACGCCACAGTCTGGTCGGGTCGGATGCAGGAAGGTTATCAAGGCGACGTGGCCGGGGCTATAACCCTTCCTGCTTGCTCAGGCTGGAGGTGATAGACTGGATCAAGAGCTTTTATCTGTTCGCCTCCCTTTTCCTCTGCCCACCTGAAACTGGTTGAAGGACACCTAGTCGTGTTGTGTTTTAGTAGTGCAGACTAACTGATACTGTACTGGTTGGACTAAAGAAATTGGTGTTCTTTTGCCATATGAGACTTACACAGAGGTTGATGTGACGAAGTTTGTGAGGCTGTTTTCAAGCCGCTGCCTTTTCCTGTCTACTTCAGCACAGTTAATGCAGGCAGCAATTATGCAGTGCTGCAGAAATGAGGTTTTATGTTTAGGGACAAAGTTAAAATTATCCTATCATCTTTTTACAGTGTTTTTAAATTATAGCTCTTACATTTTTAAGAATTAGTCTCTTAAATCGGCCATTAGTGAGGAGGTGAAAAAGATTTGGCAGAAATTATACACTTTCTTAGTTTAAAAAAAATAGTTTGTAGTTGTTTGAGATGTTTGCTGCTGTAAGCAGCCTCACATTCATAGTGTGTTAAATTGAAGTGCTGGTGTATTCCAGAAGACTTAGCTGAACCACAGAAAGCAGAAAAATAAGGACTTGCTTTCAAGAACAAAAGCAACCATAGAACTGGGAGGAACTTGAAGGCACCACAGGTTCAGACTGGTAGCAGCCGAGTAACTTGCTTTGTTCATAAAATAAAGGCTTTCTTCTAATCCTGGGCTGAAGGACCTCATGAATTCAGAAATTGCTTTTAACAATCAGTGTAGAATAGGAAGTGTGATAACGGGAGTCCTGGGTGTCAGTTCTACATATTACCTGTGGCCTGATCAAGTGAAAAGAAATCAAAATTAAAATACAGTAGCACTGAAGGGTACAGTAGCATGGATTTCATGAGCCAAATCTTGTCTAGTAGAAGCGAAACCACTGCTGAAGGGGTTGTGTGCATAACTGCACAACCCACTGTGTCGGTCGCTGGAGGGAGGACGGGCGAAGGGTGAGGGTGGCCGGGCGGCTGAGGTCGCGAGGTGTCTGGGAGAGGGCGAGGAACACAAACTTTGGGTCACCGGGTTCCTACGGGATAGCAAAGCGAGTCACTACCGAACAGTTTGTGGAGGTTGTTGCAGTTCATGCATATTCCTCAGTTTCTTGGTACCCGACCCAGAATATTTTGCCTTGGTTGGTGAAAGCGTCGCAGCCTGTCATGCGCTTTCTTTTGTTGTGCTGCTGTCCTTGGCACTTAGAGCAGTTGAAGTATTTTGTACTGCTATGGAAACAGCTATAAATGGCTATGCAAGCATTTCTTTTGTTGGTCTTCTGTTCTATCCCTTTTCTGCTTTGAAGAAATCTCAGCTCATTTACTCCTATCAGATATTGGTTCAGGTTTTATTTCCACGCCGCAGCTTCTGGGAGTTGTCTGTAGAGAAACAGTCATTACCCTTTTGTGTGACTGAATGTAACTGTGAATTTAATAAATAGGATGTGGACATCTGAGGAGGAAGGTGGGAGAAGAGATTCATCTCTCTATTTTTAATTTTTTTTTATGGAAATAAGCACTGCTAGGCCCCATACTTTATCCACATCAGGCAGCTAGTAGATTGCAGTATGATAGCTTCGTGATAGTAACTGGGATAAACTGGCTTTTTTAACTGGAAAAGGCCCGTCAGTAGGTGTTCTGGAATGGAAGCCCCTCTGCTAGCTAACCATGTTCCTTTTCTAGACTTCCTTTTCTGTTTTGGCTTGCTTTCTGCTTCCTAACTGAATTCTGTTCCTGCTGCATTTGTTGCTTCTGGTGTGGTGTTTTCTGTGCTTTTTTTCCCTGTGTTTCGTGTTGGTTTTCTGCTCTGTAAGAGCAATAAAGTTCAGTGCAGAAGTCAGTCTGGCTGCAGACTGCATTTGGCTGTGTATACCGGAAAAGCTGTGGATGTGTCATTTGAAAGCATAGAGTTTTGTAGTGTGCCTCTTTTGTGGGGTGTGGGTTTTTTCTTTTCTTCCAGTTAATGGAGAAACTACTCTGCTACTCTGCTCTGGTGAGACCTCACCTGGAGTACTGCGTTCAGCTCTGGAGCCCTCAGCACAAGAAGGACATGCAACTGTTGGAGCGGGTCCAAAGGAGGGCTACAAAAATGATCCGAGGGCTGGAGCACCTCTCCTATGAGGACAGGCTGAGAGAGCTGGGCTTGTTCAGCCTGGAGAAGAGAAGGCTACGGGGAGACCTGATTGCAGCCTTTCAGTACTTAAAGAGAGCCTATAGGAAAGATGGGGACAATCTTTTTAGTAGAGACATCAGTGACAGGACGAGGGGTAATGGTTTTAAACTAAAACAGGGTAGGTTTAGGCTGGATATAAGGAAGAAATTCTTTACAATGAGGGTTGTGAAACACTGGAATGGGTTGCCCAGAGAGGTAGTGGAGGCCCCATCCCTGGAAACATTCAAGGCCAGGTTGGACAGGGCTCTGAGCAACCTGGTCTAGTTAGTGGTGTCCCTGCTCGCTGCGGGGGGGTTGGACTAGATGACCTCTAGGGGACCCTTCCAACCCGAAACTTTCTATGATTCTAAATATTTAACAGTAGTTTCGGTCACTGTTTTAGTTGGCTGTTGTGCTTTATAGGGAATTTGGTCTCCTGGTATTTAAAGCTTGCTTTGTCTTCATGCAGTAGGGATCTAACTTGAATTGAAATGGGTAATTGGAACGGAGCTTTCCTTCTTGGGCTGCCTATCGGAATGAGCTGCTTTCCTCATCCCAGTAACGTCCCGGGTTGCATCAAACCTGTGGGCGGTGTGTAGTTGCCTGGGTGCTGGGTTTAGGCACGGTGTCCGAGCTGGAGTGGATTATTTGCTGTAATGCTACAGAAGTGTCAGTTGCACATCTGTTGTAGTATTTTACCAGATAATAGCATTTTTCAGTTTTCTAAAAAAAAAAAAGACACAATAGGAGACTATTGTTTTCTTGCTTCTTTTCACCCCTGAGTGCTTCGAGTACAGTTGCTCTCAGTCCTTCCCTAGTTTCACAGAACTACTGGACATGGGGGAAACGAGTCTACATGGGAAGAGATGGTAACATCCAGCTTGGTCTTTGTTTACTTGGTGTAGTACTACAGCAGCGTGCCGTCAACTGAGGTACAGGGGGCTGCCTAATCGAAGAGTGATCCCTGTAACCCTGGTGTCCGGGTTAGCTGGGTGGAATGCCGTTTTTTCCGAGCTGGGACTCGCCGTGGATCTGCTGGGTGGGTTTCCGTAGCCTGGCTGCTCCAGCGTGGCCATTCAGTGCACGGCGCTGTGCTGAGAAGACGGGTGAGGTTTCACTCTCCTGCCTGCTGCTCCTTCTACTCTTGACTCTTCTCTGTTCACTTTTCCAGCTTCTTTCTGCAAGTCTGCAGCTACAACAGTCATGAACTCCAGGCATGTCAAATTTCGGACAGAATAAACTGTTTTCTGGGGGAGCTTCTAAAAATGACAAAAAAAATAGACAAGAATTGCAAAGCCAAAACTATATTGGGGAGGGGGAATCTCTGATGAAAAATGAGTACTAAGAAGTGAGGTTTTTAAAATTCTGTCTTGGCCTACAGCCGCGTGCCTGGAGTTTGAATTTTGGTCACAGGAATGAAAATCTCCCAAAGCATTGAGCTGAAGGGGGGGTTGCTTGGGCACATTTAGAGCTTAGTTCTGTTTCTCTGTGGCTCAAAGTGCTGTAGGACAGTATTGGAAATCTGCTTGTGTCCTTTGTGGATCTAAATGTATTCCTTCATAAAACTACACAGTTTCAAGGCACTCCAGACTAGATAATGATCTAGTATGTTTAACAGATCTTTGCAACTTCCAGATGAAATTTTCCATTTGATAGGGATGGCAAGGCAATAATTCTTGTCAAAAAACTGTCAGACCCCACAGCGATTCTGGGGAGTCCTGGCCTGTGTAGTGAACTGAGAGGTCTTCAGCTGTGAGGCAGAGTCTTGGCGACAGCAGGGTGCGGGGCAGAGGAAAAGCTTTGGGATTCGTTCTGCAGCAGCTGTTTGTACTCTTGGATGGACCTGGCAGCCGGTGCTGGCGCAGGGCCGGGAGAACCCATGCTGTGGGATGGTGACCCTTAGTGCTGGGGCCTCCGAAGCTGAGCTGGCCCTGCAGGACTGATGGCACTGGGGGGAACAGGCAGCTCTGTGTGGCAGAGCGCCGTGAAGTGACAGGGGGACCGCAGATGTGTGTTAGCTGTCCTGCCATCCTTCTTAGGATGAGCCTGGCTAACTTCTGATGGCCAGCTGCTTTAGACAAAGGTGGCTGAGCGCAGCTACACACACATTTGTTTTCCCCTCCAGTCTGCAGTAAGAGATTGTACAATCTGAATTGTAGGCTAATACCTACTATATTTAAAGCCTTGTAAAACTGAGATCAGTTGCACTGTGCTTCAGTATGGCGACAAGCATACATCCTGATCTGGATTTTTATATGGCTTTTTGATCTATGGAACAGATACAGTAAGCTGGTGGTCTTTTACTTTGCCAGGAGCTTGTATTCTGTGCGTAGTTATGTTTGCTCACGCTAGGTGTGTGAGCATGAACAGGGAGCAGGAACACTAATGGCACCACGAGCAGGCATGTGAATGCGTGGAGGTAGGAGAAAAGAGCAAGCCTGCGTCTTTCGGGAGCTAGCTGTGTAGACTTGTGGGTGTTTCTATTTCTGTGAAGTCTGATGCGTTTTAAAATTGCTCTAATACAAGGCGGCAGAGTAGACAGCACTGCAAGATCATCTACCCAAATGTAAAAAATGTATTTGCAAAGTAATGCAGTAAATTAGTCATTTCACATTGCATCCCTGAAATGCAATGGTGAACATTCAGCATCCAGCATATGGAGGTCTACTTTCGCTAGGCTATTAAAAATAGGTTTGCTTTCGTATGTAATATGACGCTGACCAGGAATCTAGAGCAATGCTGCAAGAAGCCAGGGGACTAATGGTTTTCCTAGCAGGAAAAGCTTGTCTTGTGCCCTCCTTGCTGGCTTGTGAGGGGAGGCTGCAGGTGGCTGGGAATAACCTCGACCTGCCTTGCCACCCAGCTGCAACCTCACCTGGGCTGGAGCAAAAAGCTGCTTAAAAGTGGTGGTTTTCCAATCATTTATGCTTGCTAGCTCCTCAGTTGTAATTACTGCCTATGACTGACCACACGGATTGGCAGAACAGTGTTTGTGTCTGACGTGGTTGTGGATAAATGACAATTTTAAGTAATGTGGTGAGCCTGCTACTAAGTAGTATTCCTCAGATCCCTTTTGGGTTCAGTCCTAAAGGGACCTGTTAATATATAATTATATTTCTTCAGAGATGCTCGTGTCTGGCCAGCATGTGGAGTTGACCAGTTTCCCACTCAAAGAAAAGAGCAAACCAAAATACAGAGTTTTGGGGTGTGTGGTTTTGGAGTTTCATGCCTTTTTTTAAGGGGAAAACTGCTTAGCCCGTTAAAACTGAGGTTACTTCTGGCTTGTGTGTATGACTTTAATCGGCCAATTGTGGTTGTGCTTCAAGTGTAGCAGAGTTAAAACAGGAATGAAAGGCTGCCTGCCTGAGGAGTCTTGTCAGAACAGAAAGATTTGGAAGAATGGCATGGCTTTGAATAGCCACGGTCGTGTTTTACGGAGACGACTCTCTTACTCATGCTGCTGCAGCAGCCATGGATGAATCTACTTGACAGCGCGAGCTTGAAGGGAGAGCTCCTACGTGCTTCCTGCAAATGGCAGGTTGAGCAATTCGGATGTGTGCAAGTCTTCGTGCCTTGTTGTATACTCCAGATAGTCTGATAGAAGTTCAGTAGCAATATCCTCTTGGAGCAGCGTTAAGTTAGTCTTCACAGGAAAAACTCGCAGAAGCCTTGAGAGACCTATTCCAGAAGAGCTTGTGACTTTCGGGGAATTGGACCTTCTGCAGAGGTATAGGGGTAACAGTTCCCTTTCTAAACACACAAAAAGGATGTAGGAAACCAAATGGAGCTTTGCCTTGCCTTTTCTGGGCTTTCATGCAAAGCACAGGCGCTCTTGTTTATTAGCAGTCACTGGTCATAGTCCAAAGCTGTCTTCAGGCTTGTGGGACAGTGGACATGGAGTACAGTATTGGGCCAGAACTGCTTTGCCCAAGACTTGGTCTGCTCTGGAATGCTTTGAATTTATTTTGTTCCCATAATGGAGGAATTAACACTGCAAAGCCCATGTTGGTCAAAGCTCCTTTGTGGCCTTTTTAGCATTGCTAATTATCACCACCCAAACTGAAGGCTTGTCTCAGCGTGGAGGAGCTATGACTTTTCTCTCCCCAAGTATGTTCTTAATGTGATGCTATTGCTTGCTGTTGCCATGGTGAGAAGAGAGCTGTGTCAGATTAAAGATAATTTGGCCATTTTGGTAAACTGCTCTGAGCAGTGTGACTTAAGTCGCATTAGAACAAACCCAGAGCAGTGGAGGGGGGGATTTGATGGTGATGTATAAAGTGTGTGGACAGTACAGGTATTAAGTGTTGTCTCCTCTGGATGTGAGTGCTGTTTAGGCTGAACTTTTGGAAGTCTATGTATAGATGGTTTGTTACTTATCTTATGTGGTGCTTTTCCAGAATCACAGATCACTTGACTGTGTAAGTGCTTGCTTACAGATGCTGTCTTGCTTTTCTTATGTAGGATGCCCACTCGCAAGGAGAGGTGGTGGCATGCCTGGAAAAAGGCCTGGTAAAAGAGGCGGAGGAGACTGATCCTCGAATTCAGGTTTCTGATCAGTGTAAGAAAGCAATTCTTCGTGTAGCTGAACTGTCTTCAGATGACTTCCACTTGGACCGGCATCTCTACTTTGCATGCCGAGATGACAGAGAGCGATTTTGTGAAAATGTGAGTAGTTTTTTCTTGCTTTCTCTTCTACAGTAATCCATTAGAAAAAACAAAACCACATGGGAAAAAGGAATGGAATGGTAGAGCGGAGCCTGAGTGAGATCGTGTAATACTGACAACAAACACCTTGTAGCTGTCATTTTGCAATAAATCTGGTATTAAATTCACTCACCCAACAAACAAGCGTTGTTTCTGGTGGGTTAATGAACTGAATTGGCATAAATGGTTTAACGGGCATCAGAGCTGGGGTGAAAGGGAGCAGGATGACTCAAGCGGGGAGGAGGCAGCAGAGGTGAGTGACGGCTCCTTTCTGCAGCAGTAAGCTGTTGCACGAGGTTAGCCTGGTCTGAGTTCCCTCGCAGCGCTCCTGAGCATACCTGGAGCGAACGAGCTGGAAAGCTGCATTGTTCAGTCTGACTTAGCTTGTATCAGCTGCACGTCTGCTCACTGAAAGGATGATGAGCACAACCAGATTTTTTTAATACAATAAAATTTACAAGATCTTTATACTGTAGAAGCTATTGCTGTCTTTTGAAATATTAACTTTAATATATTTCTAGTTTAAAAAATAATCTCTTTAGGTGTAGTTTAGCCTGCTTATTAAGCATTGCAAGTCTTATTTTTAATGGCAAATGTTTCTGTTCTGTTTCACAGACTCAGGCTGGGGAAGGCCGAGTCTACAAGTGCCTCTTTAATCACAAGTTTGAAGAATCAATGAGTGAAAAGGTAGGTATCTGTCTTAGTGAGACAAATCCTTAATGCAGAAATCATTGGATCATTCATCAGCCCAGGCTACATTATTCTTTTCCAGTGTTGAGGAAAATCCATCATCTACGTGGTCAGATAACCAACTGCTTTAACAGTTGCTTTTACTTCGATATGTTTGTGTTTCCAGCTACTGCTGATGGCTTGAATTAATTGTGCTCAAGTTCCAGCCTTTAAAGTTAAGCATTTAAATAAATCAAAGCTTTTGGGTGGGTAATTTGGGAAGGTAGACATGGAGCTCAAGTGGTCGCACTGTGATTGAGTGTTTAAAGTAGAAGTCGCACCACTCTGGGTAAGCCTTGCATAAATGCTGTCGTAACATGCAGATTAGAAACAAAATACCCAAATGCCTCAGCACAGGAAGCTCTGTGTGTGTGTTTCACTTCTGTTTTCAAGACTCTGAGTGTCTGACCATGAAGCAGCAATTTCTGTGGGAAAGATGCACAGTTCAGTTACTGACATTTTCTTTATATTTTTCCTAAAGATGTTGTTTTCAACAACAACAACGAAGTTGTTCTGGAAAGCCAGACCTGAATAGAGTTTGCATTGGTGTAGGCATTTTGGGAAGGCAGCAGTGCCTTCAGTGAGTTCAGAAGCAGCATCATAGTGTTTGGGATTATATGGAATTATATCATCATCTGAAAGGATATGAACAAAGGGTAAAGCCCTCCTTGGAGAAGCTCCACGGAGGGACCGTGATTCAGAGGCCTGGAGGGATCAGACTCATTTCCTTTTCTTTAAATGCACAGGCTGTCTGAAGGCTTGGCTCCAATTAAACTCAAAACTGAGAGTGATCCCTGAGGGCTTGAAACAGAACTTCATTTTGGTACTGAAATAGACTGCTGCTTTTTGCTTTACCTGGTTTTGGTTGTACAGGGACAGTGCGGGTGTTTTTTGAGGCGTCTTTTCCGTGGTCAGCTGTCTTAAGGTATGAAGAGAAGATGCTGAGAGGTTGGACAAAGCTGTAGCAGATTACTTGGTGGGGAGAGAGGGGTGGATGCTCTGAGGGTGCAGTCTGCAGAGCAGGAGGAACGCAAAATCTTAATTCTTGCTCTTGTGGCTGCCAAGGTTGGCCCATTTGCGAAGTCACTAGTTTTGTAGAAGCCATTACCCAGTTAAAAGTCCCTCCTTGCCGATGGCATCAGTAGCTGCCTAGTGGGTGGCTTGCTTTGTGTCCTCCAAAGCTGCTCGCCAGGCTGGGCTCCTTGGCTGTACCCGACCTTCCCCTGCTTTGCGGGATGAGATCTCTGCAAGCCGTTAACTCCCTGTGTCCCAGGCTGTAAGTCTGTCCCGTCCCAAGGCCCCAGTCATGGCACGGAGACAGGAGTGTGAAGGAGGGGGTGGGAATATCTTGGAGCAGGGCTTTTCAATTCCTGAAGTAGGTATGAGAAGGAGGGGGAGAAAAGTGAAAAAACTTGATGTAAGGTAGGGGAGAGGGCTATGGGGCTTGTCTGTTCCTTGTGCCCAGATCGCTTCTGTTCTCCCCACCCTACACACACGCAGTTTTCCTTCCTTTCAAACAGTCGAGAATAGACAAATTTGCCTGAGCTATTCTAAATTATCTGCTGCGCTCGGATTTAATTTTCATGTAATTTAAACCGAAAGCTACAAAGCGTAGCAGGGTTTTTACAGGCCCTTTTTTGGGTGAAATTTAGAGGGTTGTTCTTGCAGCTGCTGGGTTTAGGTTCGGCCACAGTACATCCTCGTGAGCCTCGCCAGTTGTGGCAAACAGCTAGAAATTCCCGTGGTTAGACTGCTTTATCTGCTGTCATCTGTTCGGCGCGTTGCAGAACAAGCCCGAAGAACACCCTGTTTTGTAAATGCGACTGGAAGAAGTTGTTGCTTGAGGGCATGGGGTGAGCGCGTACCACAGCTGGGATAAATGTCAGCAACTGATCCTAGTTACTGAGAATGAGTCACGCTCGCAGCCACAGCTCTGAACAAAAAGCGGCATGAATGTGCAGTTTTGAGAAGTGCTCTGCAGAGAGCTGCTGCCTTTAAAACCCTTGATCCGTTGACCTCGGTGGGCATTGTTAACTGTGCGGTTTCTATGAGACAAACGCGATTTAACTGTAGTGCAGGTTAAACGCGTGGATTTTAAAGCATCAGTCATCTTTTGAAGCACAACTTGAAAACTTAATGGCGGCAGGTCCAGCTCTCTGCCTCCAGCATGTGGAAGCTCATTCAGCCATCCCCATGTGTCTCCTGCAGTGTCGTGACGCGCTGACCACCCGCCAGAAGCTGATCGCCCAAGACTACAAAGTCAGTTACTCGCTGGCGAAGTCCTGTAAAAGTGATCTGAAGAAGTACCGCTGTAACGTGGAGAATCTTCCCCGGTCTCGGGAAGCCAGGCTTTCCTACCTGTTGATGTGCTTAGAGTCTGCTGTGCACAGAGGTAAGGGGAGTTCAATCAAGAGATGGGTGACTTGCTGGGATCTTGATTTTCAAAGTTTCTCTTAGACCTTCAGCTTCAACGTGTATTTTCAGTCCGCTTCTCAAAGGAACTTTTTCCAAACTTCGGTTCAGAGGCAAGTTTCCTCACCATAATACTTTCGGCACTGTTGTTTTGAAGATCAGAACAGCTGAGTAAACTTCTGACCCTGACTGCTGTTGTGTAGGCAAGGAGTTTAAAACGCAGGATAGCAAATCCCACTTGGACTGATAATGTGTAATTGCAAATCCTTCTATTCACTGTGAATTCAAGCAGCTCTTTTCATTCTTTATGTAGTAAGCATTAAATATGCTACGTTAAAACATGGGATAGGCAAATTGTTTGTCATCACTCAGGGAAAGCCACGGATGCTGGGTCCTCTGCTTCTTGTGGTGTTCAGTAGCTTGGGTAGAGGCCTTTAGTTTCTCTAACCCTTATGTAGTTTTTCCTGTATAGAAGGCAGATGTGAGAAAATGCTTTTTGTATGTTTAAGTTAGTGTAAGCTGGAGGAGTCCTAACACCGCTGGCTGTACCAAAGGCAGTAGGAGGCCCTAAGCAGCAGGACCACGCTAAAGGTTCTCTGTGAAATTGCCATAACATGTAAAACAACACCTTCTGTGCTCTAGAGCTGCACTGGAGAATTGTTTTCCCCCTTGGCGCGTAGCTGGGTGGTTTCCGATTCAGCAGCAGGGCTGCGTGCTGCCGTGCCCCTGGCACGGGACGGAAATGCTGCTGTAACACCGTAAATGGTCTGTCCATCTGTGAGTTTGAAGAGCTCGTTGCTTCTGATTGATGTGGAAGCACTGTGTGCTCTTTGTGGGAAAGTTGTGGGTTTTTTTTCCTTCCCCCTGCAGCGGAGCAGATGCTTTCCTGAATTACATGCAGAAAGCTGCTGTTCGGTTAGGAGCTTCCACTTTCACGGTGGAACAGGTTCTGCAGCGTGTGGTTCATCCACGGAGCATAGCCCAGGAGGAGCACTGATTCATCCGCAGTCCTCCACGTGTCTGTGTTGTGATGCCCAGCAGCCGCTGTTGGGGTGCAGGACCTCCGCTGCGTGGGGCATTGCACACGTATGAACAGGCTGTGATGGGGGCAGGGGGCAGGGCATGGCAAAAAAGGTGTGTTCCTTTTGATGAAAAAACCAACTGTCTACTTGGGGACTGTAGGAAAGCTTATAGCAGACCCAAGCGTTGCTTAAGGTTCGATTTCTGTGTGCTTGCAGTGGTTTGTTACACTCCCTATACACCCTTGGTAGCAGATTCTGTTCCGTGCTTCGGCTTCCTGAGCAAGTATGTGCTATTGCTCTAGAAAACCTTTTCCTCAGAAAATGTTTAACCTGCTCTCTGCGCAAATTCCTCCCCCAGTTAGATACCAAGCTGGTAAATTACCAGAGATGAGTTCTGGTCCTACAGTGGAAAAGGGGCCCCGTGAGCATACAGGGAAGAGATGGCCACAGAACTGCAGATCCACTGAGCGTTTTCCGCTGTTCCTCAAAAGCACCTCCTGTAACATGAAATCCAAAATAAGATTCTCCTAATCTTTCAGGAATCCCTTTTTTCCAAATCCGTGTATTGAATCCATAGACTGGCTATTTTACAGGGTCCATTAAATGCTGGGAGCTGCCGTAAGAACTCGTTTAATCCCCAGCATGTCTGCTCTAGCACACTGGTTGCAGTCTGGTGTGTGGACATTGTCCCTGTTCTTCCAAGATGATGGCAGCGTAGGTCAAGAAGAGCTCTGCTAAGCATGGATACTAAATCACGTTGTCTCCTCTTGGCGCAGGTCGACAAGTGAGCAGCGAGTGCCAGGGTGAAATGTTGGATTACCGGCGCATGCTGATGGAAGACTTCTCCCTGAGCCCAGAAATCATCCTGAGCTGCCGAGGGGAGATTGAACACCACTGCTCAGGCCTGCATCGGAAAGGTCGCACCCTGCATTGCCTGATGAAAGTCGTACGGGGTGAAAAGGGCAACGTCGGGCTGAATTGTCAGCAGGCAGTAAGATGCTTTTCTAGCACTTTACTTCTAGGTTGTTGGGTTGGTAGAAGCACTGATGTGTCTGTTGACATTTTGCCCTGTGATGGAGATTCTTCTGAAGGCAGTCTGGTTCTGCTGGGTACCAGTGAATGCTGGAGGTGGTTGTGTAATTGTCATGGTATGAAGCGTAACTTGGTATCGAGCAGCACCCTAGTAATGGTTTTCTTCCTCAAAAAATACATTTGGGGTTGTTTTGCTCTGGATTTTGTACTGGATCTCCAGTAGCTCTTCTCCAGCAGCTCTCAAGTCATGGAATTCTCTCCTATGTGCAAGATGTAGGTAAACT